ATTCAGCCTGTTCTGGATGGTATCATACTCCTGCCTGGTTCCTTGGATCTTGGATCTTCAGGTGGCAGTGATGGAAAGCAGTGCACTCACATAGCTACATCCCAGCATACCTTTGGTGATTGTTCTTGAGTCAGTCTGATTGATGTACCAAGTTATGGATAACAGTTGGCCACAGATTATTGCAATGCACTCAATGTAAGGTTAGCCTTAAACAGTATTTGGAAGCTTCAACTAGTGTAAAAAGTGGCAGCTAGCTGTGTAAACATGGAACAGTATCAAAATCATGTCAACCAGTATGGAAATATCTGCACAGATTGTGAATTGTTTGCTGTTCTCAATTAAAAGTGTTAGAGTTAAAATTCTTAACTGCTCACACCTTGGCTATATAAAAGGCCACCCATCTTAGTATGAACCTGTTTGATTACTAAAATCAGCAGGGGAGGCTCTTTGTAAGACATCCTAATTAGCAGAAACCCATTTTTTTCATTCTGTGTTGCATAACTATAGAGTTGTGAGTGATCATCACACTCCTTGCATTCAGGAAAGGGTCAAGTCACATCTTTCTAACTTCAGGTTTTTAGACTGTTTAAGCATGTTTTAAATGTTTTATTATTCCCTGATATTTTCATGATTTGAACTTTTTGTAAACTGCCTTGGTTGATTTCAGAAGGAGGGTACAGAAATACAAAAAAGCAAATAAAGGGTTTGTTTAATAAGCTTGCTTTTTATGTACTGAGTGAAAATCATATTGATAGATTATGGTAACATTTTGTTGTTTGAAATATACTGATATTGTTTGTTTTTCAATATTAGTGTTTTAGTATGTTGTTAGACACATTAGATTTCCTTTTGGAGAAAATAGTGGGGTGCAAGCATTAACATATACCGTCACAAAGTTCTTTAAAAATCTAATTTTGTTTAAAAAAATTCAATTACAATACATATCTCTTCAAAAACTAACCTGGTTTAAATTAAATTCCAACCTCCTACCACTGAACACATATGCTTGATCCTAAACCAGGCATCCATAAATGGTGGGACCAAGATCCAGCACAGAAAAGTATTTCCCACTGAGATCAATGGAATTAATTCCCAGGTAAGCAATTATCGGATTGTAGAGTTAATGTTGATTTGAAAAAGTAGAATCTGAAACCTGGCAGGGCATGTCCCGAATGCCTAAACCTTCTAGCAACTATAGGAAAAGGTGGCAGATACTACCTGTCTTGAGAATTTAGAGATCAATGTGTGGCAGTAAAGGTGAGAGGCCAGGCTGAACTCCTCCAGAGAAACTTCCAGGGATATGGTTCTTTCCTGCCACAGTAAGTACCACCAAAGAAGGCTATGCCACAACCTGAAATGATCATGTAGCTGCATTTCCAATGCCAAATGCTGCTGATGCGCTGCTGATGTCTGATGCGCCGGGGCGGCACAATTCTGGGGCAGGGGGAGACATTTGGTAAGTTGGTCTCAGCAAAATTGCTTATAATTCAATTGTGTAGAAGGCAGTGACTGCAACATTCCCTTCCCTAGCACTCATTGATACAAGTCCAAGCAGTTTAATAATCAAGTAGTTCTAGTTACATAATGTGCACCTGTCAGTGGTATAAGCACAACAAAACAGCTTGCCTGGTAGTGCTAATACTGGGCTGAATACCTAAAGGATGTTTCAGGAGAATCACTAATACTCTGGAAGAAAAATGAGATCCTTTTTCAGCAAATAAGAAAAAAAGATGTGGTAAATAAAACAGGCCAAATGAAGGGCCCAATTGGAAGAACTTAAGAAGAGTGGATGAAACAGAGAGCAATGGAAGATGGAATCTGCAGATAACCCAACAGATGTGAAAATGGCAAATGGGAAGAAGACTGGAGGAAGCAGGAGCCCAGATAAAGGAAAAGCAGGGCCAAAGTTGACTGTGTTTTCATATTCACTGCCATCCCTTTGAGCTTCAAGCTATGTATGGGCCCATTACTTGCTGGCACTGTACATGCTGTGTAAACCAAAATGGCATGTTTCTGCATGGAACCAAGTTGCAACAACATCTCCCCCAAAACAATAGAACATTTTCAAAAGCTACTTCTTAAAAAACAGCATGCTGACTTAATTAGTAAACATTATACTAACTGAACAGGGCAATCCTATAAACATTTAACTCAGTTCTGCTGAATTCCCAAGTAATGGAAAAGAATTAGTCTGTTAGGCATTAACTAAAATGCAGGGAGAGATAAAGTTATAACAAAGACCTTACCAATATATCACAAATCACAATATATTACACTGAACACTGCACAAAAACAACATGTTCATTTTGGGCACTTGCACCAAGAAGACACACAAGAATTAGGTGTCCTTGCTTCTTTTTTAAGCACACATAAAAGCAACTAGCATTCCAAGCCTCACAACAGACACTGCACAACTGGCACCTTAGGGAAATGTTTATGTAGCATTGCTTTACATGAATGCAGCATATACAATTTCGGAGCCAAGCATGCTAATTCTTAATAAAAAAAAGTTATGCAAATTACCCAAACCACTCATATTTGAATACAACTTCTAATGCATGACCCCTGAAGCAGCACGCAATAAAACAAAATCACTACTTCTGTTCTGAAACAATGTACTATTTCATGAGTTGTTAGTCTGCCATCTTTAATCAGATGGGTTTTACCATGATCCACCAGCAGGTGGTATTGTAGCTACATACAGTATCTGGATACCACTCCCATTTATTTTTAAGGTTTTAAAAACAAAGTTCGTCACCATTTTGCTTCACATTTAGGTATGTAGCACTTGCTGTTACATGCAACACTAGACCTGCACATTATACAATGCAATGCTATTTTTCTTATTAACATTCTCATTAACTGAATTATTAAGCTTGTTACAGTTGCTATACTTGCAAGGTAACAGGCTAGTAAAGGCAACACAGCATATGAGAAATATGTTCCATAGAGAAGAGGGACTACACTCCAGTGCTGGGTTGTTTAGCATTATGTACAAACCAGGAACTCTGGGTTGATGAGGGAAAGATGTATGTGTACATGTATGAAATGGATCAGATCCAGAGGCAGATAAGTAGACCTTCATTTGCACAACAGGTCTTTCCTGCCTATGCCCCAACCTACAGTTTTTGTACACCCTTCAATATTATTCTCGAGGAATGAGAGACTCTCTGAAATGAGGGACGGTATGTGATGTAAGATGAGGGCCTTCAGTGGACTAAACATAGACTAAAGTTGTCTTACACAAGCAAAAGTGCCTTTCTATGCAATAAGATCCAAGCCTATGATTATACATGCAGGGCAGGTTTGGACATCACAATAAGCCACCCTCTGAATAAGCAGTACAATGGGATTTACTGTGGCTTCTTCTCCCTTTCCTTCACTCTTAATCTTCTAGTAAGTATCCCAGTGTCCTGGGATATTAACTCCCAACAACTTTTTGGAGAACCTGCTGCAATTACTGCAGGCACTTGACAGTTCTTAGAAAATGCACTTTTTTGAAAAAGGAACTAGATACTGATTTAGTGGCTGGGAAATTTACTTTCCAGTCATTAAATGTGCATATATTTCACAGCCTGCAAAATGTGCAAAAATTCCTGACAGTGATTAAAAGAAAAAACAACCTTAGAGGTGACAGAATGAGAGGGAGAAAATGGGACCTCAGCACTAACATTCCTTATAACCCCACCACCATGGGGTATCATTCATTCAGTCCCATTCAACAGCCTCCTCTAGATAGGGATGTAATATAACTGCATCAGTAAGTTCACTGAGTGGCGTACCCCACTTTCTGCAGTAGAAGGATACTTGGGGAACTGCTGAAATGAAACAGGTCAGTTAGAGCTGTCAGATCAACACTCAAAATCCAGAGAATTACATTGCTAAGGGCTGATATTGTCACCATTCCCTTTTGGTGCACCAAGTTTTGCCACTTTTCCCCTTTTACTTTTCAGTTGAGTGCTAGGCAACTGTGCAGAAACAAGCCCATATGGAGCCTTGTCTTGTCAATCTCTTACCTACTCCAGTTTCCTTTGAAAGTTAAAGCTTACAAAGCCATTAATAAAGAAAAACTACTTATACCTTTGCATTTGGAAACACCAACACAAATAATTTTAAAAATGCTCAAACACAATTGTGCAATATTCTGGGGCTGAAAAATGATTTTAAAAAAGTGTGGTAAACCAGCAATAGTTACTCTGAAGTGCTGCTTAGGACAGGTGGAGGATGCAACACTGAGCAAGGGGATGAGCAAGATCACAAGGAATGACAGAGGTTTGCACTAGTCCCTACAACCTACAATGGAATCAGTCTCCTGAGTTTGGATAACAGAACCCATCATTGGTAAAGCAAACCCTAATACAAGGCTTGGGTTGGCAGTATGGCTTGTTGTCCACCAATAATTCAGCCTACAGGAAGCAGTCTGGGTTCAGGCAATATCACAAGTTCCCATGGTGGGTTCTGATGTGGTACCAGTTCATAGTAAGAAGATGTAGACAATGTCATGCTCAGTGTAAGATAGTAGTGCATTCAAGAAGATATTCATGCAACTAGGAGATAAACTATACTATAGGTAATAAAATGTTCTAACACAGTCCAACTTATGAGCCAAGAAGAGTTAAATTCTATGATCTATATTAAGTAAATTTGAATAGCTTCTTCAATTTTCCCATTTTTACTATTTTGCATAATTTATTGCAGTTTTGCTAGTCACAACCAAGAATGTAACACACATTTAAGCTCTGGGCAAAAATTCACCTCAAAACTATTTTGTCATTCAACTGGAAGACAGAAGTGAATAGAAATAGAAAACCAAGTTCTTTTCCAAAGGTATTTAAAGAGGCATAATCAAAGAATGAGCAAAACATAAGAATTCAACAGAAAGATAAATTCAGCTGGGAAATGCATTTCATTAAATCTTTAAAGACCAATACTACATGGTTATACAATTGTGAAGTATTACTGTAACATTACTAAAATAACAACTAAGATCATCATCATACCTTTGCATATCTGTTGGCTGACAAACTTATCAGATCACATAAGACATTTCCACAATGTTCTTCAAACAAACTGATATTGGTTAAATTTTCACCTGTTAAATTTGTGAACTTGTGAGCATATACAGTTTGCCCTAGAAAATATAAACAAAACAAGAGCAATTTAACCTTGATATTGACTTGAGGGACGCAGAAACAGGTACGCTTTCATTCTATTAGTGCAAAGAACAGAAGTTATCCATTTTTTATTTAATATGAAAAAAAGTTAACAAGGAAAATTTTCTTTACCCCATTTCTCCAGTTTGACAGCACTATGTTTTTGCAGGAGGAAATTTAGTGTTGTCAGATTGGTTCAGTGCCACAGTCCTATGATGTGACATAAGTGCTATGGTTGCTCCCATTTTGCTGCATCAAAATATAAAGCTTCTACCCAATATGGTTAAGTGTGGAAGCAAACCAAGTAGCAACCATGCAGATCAGATAACCCTTAAAAGCTGTCCTTTAGTCATTGCACTGTAGCTTCTTCACAAGCAGAATGGAGAAACTGTAGATAAGGAATGGTCAATCTCTCCAGTCAAAAATAGAGATTTCTTCCTAACTAAACTACTTGGGCGACAGATTCTTTCATCATATAATTATCTCTTCTTCTCTCACTGTGCATTAGAACAGATAGCACAACCATCTGCAGACAAATACCCTTCTCAGGGTCAAAACAGGCATCTGCACGATTCAATTATAGTAGAGAGGGGAACCTCAGGTACAGTGCCAAAGCCTAAAATTTTAAGAAGTTAAAATGCCTATCCTGAAGCTTACTTAGTAGCTGTAAGAACATTAAGCTGAAATATGCTGGTATTTTTCCAATGCTGACTGCAACATTTGGCCATACACCATACTGGAACGGACATTGGGGATAGGTGTGACATAGGTACAGAAGTGGGGCAGTATTAGGACAGTCTAGAAAAGGAACACAACTGACCTTAGAAGCATAGCTACCATTCTCCAAGGTCAATCCATGCCCAAAAAACAGGTGGTGGGGGGAGTTTGGCTATATGCAAGCAAAAATGTTCTGTTTTCAATCTAAGTATGCTTCCTCAACTTTCACTGGTCACAGTCACCAGATGTTCTGCCAGCTGTGGGCAACCATCTTAATGTTGATTCACAGTGTGTTTAGGACCCTAAAGCAAAGAACTATATACACTACTTTATTTTCTTTTTGCATCCCTGTTGGTCCTCCTGGACCTCTCAGCGGCTTTCGATACCATCAACCATGGTATCCTTCTGGATAGGCTGGCAGGATTGGGAGTAGGAGGCACTGCTTAGCAGTGGTTCCGCTCCTACCTCGACGGACGATTCCAGAAGGTGGTGCTGGGGGACTCTGGTTCTGCGCCATGGCAGTTATGCCATGGAGTACCGCAAGGTTCCATCCTGTCCCCCTTGCAATTTAACATCTACATGAAACTGCTGGGAGAGGTCATCCAGAGGTTTGGCTGCGGAATCACCAGTATGCTGATGACACCCAGCTCTACCTCTCTTTTTCAACCGATCCAGGTGAGGCAGTGGCTGTACTGAACTGGTGCCTGGCTGAGGTAATGGGCTGGATGAGGGCCAATAAACTGAAACTTAATCCAGACAAGACGGAACTCCTGTTAGTGGGTGGATCGAGCTCCTGGGTAGGTGACTTGGACCTTGCCCTGGATGGGGTTGCACTCCCTCTAAAGGACAGAGTCCGCAGCTTGGGAGGGCTCCTCAACCCGGAGCTGTCCTTGGAAGCTCAAGTGACTGTGGTAGCAAGGAGCGCTTTCCTTCAGCTTCAGCTAATCTATCAGCTGCGTTCCTACCCGGAGGAAGACTGCCTAGCGACAGTGACACATGCATTGGTTACTTTCCAGTTGGATTTCTGTAACGTGCTCTACATGGGGCTGCCCCTGAAAACAGTCCAGATACTTCAGATGGTGCAAAATAGAGTAGCCAGGTTGCTGACGGGGACTGGGCGTTGTTCTCATATAACCCCAAGTCCTCTATCAGCTTCACTAGCTTCCCATTGAAGTCTGGGCTCAATTCAAGGTGCTGATTATTACCTATAAAGCCCTTAACGGCTTGGGACCTGGATACGTGAAGGAAGGCCTTCTTCCATATTTGCCCTCCTGCCCCTTGAGATCGGCAGCAGAGGCTCTCCTCTGGGAACCCTCCGTGAAAGATATTAGGAGACAAAGTACCCGGAGGAGGGCTTTCTCTGCGGTGGTGCCCCATCTATGGAATGTGCTCGCCAGAGAGGTCCGCCTGGCGCCGTCGTTACTTGTTTTTCAGCGCCAGGTTAAGACCTATTTATTCCAGCAATATTTTAATAAGTTTTAATGTTGTCTTTTCTATGTTTTTAACCGCAGCCAGTGTGGGTCGGGAATTTATATATGTTATATTTTATGCTGCAAGCCACCCTAAAGCTTTTTGTGACAGGACGGCATATAAATATTTTAAATAAATAAATAAATAAATCTTGAGTTTATCAGTATGAGATTAAGCATTAATAATTTTTAAAATTCACCAGCACAACTACAACATAGCACATTGGTGCATGTGTATGGTGCATGTGTATATTAACTGACTGTTAGCCTTTTAAAGGAGCAGGCACTAATGGTAGGATTGTACATAGAGAATGACTTCAACCAACTGGCCAGTACGTAAGAAGTGCATGGACCTTTTACCTGGACAGCAAGGTAAAATGCCTACATAAGGAATAGGTTAGAAATTCCATTCAGATCAATAGGACAAATAATATTAAAATTAAAGGATCAATATATCAATCTACAATATATTTTAAAGCAATTTATTGTGGATAGATATATTGACCTTTAAATTGTTTTAGGAAGAGAGTTTTGCTGTGAAAAGAAATAAATTGATAACTTGATTTAAAAAAAAGACAGGAAGAGACAAATAGACCCTGCTATTAACTAATTAAAATTCCAGGAGTGTATTCCAGACACACAGTGTTCTAAGAGAAGAAGGATGGTAGAACAATTGGAATGAAGCAGAAGATCACCTATTCCAAGAAACTGCCCAAATAAGAATGAGATACATGCTAAAGACAGGCTCTTTTGGAAGAAGTAGTTAACAAAAGAAGGAAAAAAGTAAAACATGCATCTCAAGCCTATCTTCCAAAATGTATTTCACTCACACAAAAAATGTTTGTACCCCTCTCCAAATTTAAAAAATAAGCACAAGAAAATGCATTCTCTTTCTGTTTTGGTCCATCTTTTATTTTCTTGGTGAACTGCTTGGAAGTGTCTGTATTCAAATACATATAATTTAACTGCTATCAAATAATCCAAAAGTCTCACTGGGCCAGTTTGGACATAACAATCTAAGCTATGGGTTGGCAAGCTATAAACAAGCAAACAAGTATTAACCATGCTTAAAGTCTCACCAATGCACTCTGATAAGCTACACAGAATGGGTTGCTTACACAACAACCCAAAATACAGGCAACAGATTATCAGAATCATTGTGCTCTGTTCTCCTGCTTGGTCTTTCAGCCATTATCCCTGTATCTTTTGTGGCAGAAGCAACCTTGTCTCCCCTGATTGCTACCTTTTGTTGTTGTCACCCCCCACCCCCCACCACAAACACGCCGTTTAAAAGTTTTTTAAAAAAGTGCATTTGGGAGTTGTGTTTTTTTCTGGTGCCCAAGCTGTGTAAGTCTGCTATTTTTCAATAACCTCCTCCTTCTTTTTTTTGCAGGTATGCAAGTACCATCATACAATTATCCAATAAGAGTAGTCCTGCACTTTTCAGTTGTCCAAGGAATGCAGTAAATAACATACAAGGAAAGTGATATAGAAATGCTGTATATAGGCTATTTTGTGAATGCATCCCTGCTTTCAGTTGCCTAACTCTCAGTCGAAAAGGAGAGAAAGCAGGAAAAGCAGACACATCTAGAGTGGTGAGAATATCATTCAATCAGCAATACAATCCTCTGAGGAACTGAGAGTTCTCTGTGCCCCTATATTTTTTCAACACTTTCCCCAGTCTCCAGAAAGAGGAGAAATTAGCTCCCTGTTTTGAGTCTCCTTCTCAGACCACTTTCTGCTATTGTTATCGCAGTTCCTTGATAGTTCTAAAAATGTACTTCTTTTGGATGGGAAAATAGACACCAATTTTACTACTGACAAGTACATCCAGGGGAAATCTTATTGCAGATGCTTTTCCTCCATTCACTGCCCTGCCTTGAATTGGCACAAATTTTACCTTCCATTTACTTTCCAGCTATTAAATGTGCACATATTTCCCAGAGCCTCCAAAACTGCAAAATATTCTCAACATGTTTTTTGGGAAGGAGACAGATCAAATGGGTGCCAGCACCAACATTAAACCTATTCCCCTACAGGGCAGTATTCACTTGGTCCCATTCAGCATCCTGTTCAAGGTTGGTTGTTTGGTTGTTTTTTTTAAAACTATTGGGTACCCACAGTAATAGTTGGTGTTACCCACAGTAATAGTTGGTGTTCCTCCCCATTCTGCAGGAAATTTGGAGAAGGGTTGAAATTGTAGAAGACAATGAGAGCTGTCAGTTCGTCACTCAAAAGCCAAAGGGGGTGATACTGTTGCCATGCCCTTTTGGTACACATTCTTATGCAATTTTCCCTCTTTAATTTTCAGCTGACAGCTAGCAAACTGACAGTTGACAACTGTGCAAAAATTAGTCCATATGCAGTGTCATTTTATCAGTCTGCTACCTACTTCACTTTCCTTTGAACCATGAAAATTACAGAGTTATTGGCAATGCAAGATTACTTAGACCAGATGATCGTAAGTGTGCATACCTGCAAAAGACTGAACAAAACAAACATACAAGCAAGCAAGCAAACAAGTGCTCCCCCCCCCACACACAAAACAATTAGAAGGGTGAAAGGTGACATATCAGTAATGGTTGTTCCCAAGCGCCACCCAATAGGAGGTTGATTGTGTTCACATGATGTGGCTGGCCATCATGGCTAGTAACCTACAACACTGAGTCCATGTATTCTTCATTCTTTGACTGAATACAGAATTTTGATTTAAACATTCTAGGACTGAAGTGCTAAAGCTGCTGTGTGAGTGGATGTATGGAGGGGGCAAGGACCCAATGCTTACGTTAGGACTGAAACAGTCCTGTGTATTATTTGCCTTTTTAAAATATTGGGTTAAATTTAAATTGTAATGGGACTAAAACAGTGCTAACTTAGTATGGGTTCAACCTACAGTATGTTTTTAAATATAATACTGCCCTTTTATAAATACATTTTCCAACTTGTTTTCAGTTTCCCTGTGTTTTTCCCTGTGCCTACCTCACACAAAAGTAATCATAAAGCAATATAAAATAGACCTAGTAAGCTTTGGGTTTTCAAAATTTATTTTCTAGCCTGGGGTCTTCAGAGGAAAAAAAAAACAAGCTAAAACCCAAAGAAATGAATATTAAAATCTTGGAGCATGACATTAGGGTTCTAATCAAGATCTCAAAATGTAAGCCTAAATATGGCTCATAGAAAGTTAGCAAGAATAACCTAAGAGCTACATTGAACTGGCAAGAAGTATTGTTTTTGGTTTTGCAATGTAAGGAAACTTATTTTCCCTCCAGGCAATTGTTTTAGCAATTATTTGCACATGCACTTTGGACTAAAGAGCTAATACACAAACAATGCATAACAGGCAGACCTACTTGGCATCTTTTCACCAAGAAGATGAAGTATTTCCAGCACTGACCAGCGGATGTCTAAGTGAAGATGCAGCAAATGCCATGATGGGGGATAAAGCTATAATTAAAAGGTAAACATTGCCTAAGAACAATATTTTAAACAGCATAAAATATTATTTTATATAAGATTCTTCTTCCTACAGTTAAAAAGAATAACTGGGACAGACAGACACAGAAAACTGACTTTCCATTTGTGGGAAATTGGATGGCAATATTTACAATGGAAGATTGAAATTTCACTCTCTTAACTTGTTATCAAAATTCAGCATGTGGAACAGACTGTTGCTCAGTCAAAGAAACAAGGATAGGTTTGCAAAAATCTGTCATCCTGAGATAAACAGTGGGTGCCCAAAAGGGTCTGACCAATCAAGCTCATTCATATTTTCCCCATTACTCTCCTGTAATCTCCAGAAATCCCTGTCAAGTTTACCACAACCATTTCTCCTATACTTGGCTACCGATATGTTAAAAACCCTACCATTTTTCATGGAGAGCAATGATGGGCTGCGTAACCTTAGACAGTAGTTACAATAGCACAAAATGGCTGGCACTTACGCAGCTAGGGCATCCTAGCAAGTGGTTTGCAAGTGGGGCACTTTACACTTACAGAAACCATTCCCCTTTCTTGTGCTGGCAATCTCCATGCCCCCCTGGTGTTATACAACTGCCACTGCACAGGACTATTGCACTGTATTGGAACTATGCTTCCTAACTGGCAACAGCATCTAGCAGTTAACTCTGAGCAACATCACCTCTCAAGCAAGGACTTCTTACAGGTGCTAGTAGAAGGTCACAGGGTATGGCATGGGACACCCATAATGTTCCTTCTATGGCGATCTAACAACTTACTAGAATGACTGGTCTGTAAAGCTACTGCTAATATCAATCTTTTCCAACTTGATGCATTCCAGATGTTTCTGACTCTAACTCCCAGGACTCCTGACTGCTGGTCATGCTGGCTGGGGCTCATTGAAAGTGAAGTCCATAACATCTGGGGGGAACCAGCAATGGGAAATTTGGCTTTTACTATGCTTCTCTTTCCACTGATTATGTATGTCAAAACAAAAACAAAGAACAGTCAAACCTTTGCTTGAGGCAGAATAGTAAATCCTCCTAGAATACAACTAGGGAGTTCACACAGGTGTCCAACATGCAATGTCAAAGAATGAAGTTCCTCAACAAGCAAAGAAGGGAGTTGTGCTTCTTGTTTCTCATATGGATGGAACAACTCATCATCTTCTCTTTCATGTGGCTCCAGATACCTAAACAAATATATCAGTATATAATATCATACACCACTCAATATACTGAGTAGGTTAAACAGAAACTGTGTCTTGACATCTCACCTGAAGATGAAAACTTTCACATACTGCAGGAATTCAATACACTGCTGCCTGACATTTTGGGCCTCCCAGTGAAGACTTGCAGCCTGACCTGTAAGTAAGGAAGAAATGAAGGCACTGTAGTCCATGTGTTGTACATGAACATTAACAGGAAATTCTTTTAGTTAAGTATTACAAGGAAGAAAAAAATTGATCATGAATCCAATTAGGTCATCCAGACACTGAATCCACTTTCATTTCCAGAAGCAATACAAAATATGTAGATTAAAGTGCCAACTAAGTGAACACGTATACAAACAAGAAGCACCCAAATAATTAACCATAATATAGAAAAGGAACATCCAGTTCATTGAGTTCATCGAGGACAAAATACTAACAGTACATCACGTAATTTAAAGTGGCACCATAAACTGAAGTCTGTATTGTTTTCACTCTCCCTTAGTAAAAGGAATGCCACACACCAAGATTTTAACAGAAGAGCTTCCAGAAGCTAATGCTGGCCTAGAGTTTGAGCCACCAAGCTGTGGTTCAGATGATGCTTTAGAATCACTAGCCCTGATCAGCATCTTAAATGCATGTGAAGTGACTGCCCTGTTAGTCTTCCATTGGGGAATGTTCTGCATGTGCACAGAATCTTTCTTTGAGTAAGACAATGTAAATGCCCCCAAATTTGTGCAAATTTCTATATGTGTACAAGAACCTCAAAGAGTTTAAAGATGCAAAACATATCTTTATAAAGTTCATGCTTGTGGCTGCCTACTCAGTATGTACCACTTATATAAGGCAATTGGCAATGTACTTAGCTTATCCATCAAACAGAATTCCAAGCATCTGTCATCACTATGACAAACACAAATGTTTCCCTTGCCATTGAAAACATCAACCACTAGTGTTTGGAGGAGAGGTCAAAACATGCCATCAGCTTTTTCTACTGGATTATTGAAGTTGCTGTAATTGAATAGTATCTGTTAAGGTTAGCCATCTTTAATAAGGATCTCTTACAAGAAGCTTCATGTGTATAACACAGAGAGTGAATGTTTTGTACAATTCTTGTCTTGGTAATGCAGCTATTACAAGGTATCCTCAGGTGGATGGGAATAAGGTAGGATCCAAGTATTAAAAATAAGATTTACTTTTACTGTCAAAAATAAGATGTACAAACAAATAAAAACATTTTTAAATTTACCAAAGTCAGAGGAACTTGACTGGACAAGGTTTTCCAGTTTGTATATTTGTTGCCTGTCAAAGAAAGAAAAAAACAGAAAGGTTATTTGGAGAGATAGATAGATGGCTATCAACAGTCTAAATTTAAAACAGACTTTTAATATAAAGAAACGAATGAATATCCTCAGTTAAAGTGGAAAAAATGAGCCAACAGTTGAAAACAAGGGAAATCAGAAGAGTAAAGTCAGCTTCTACAGTTTGCCTGATCCCTTGAATCTAATACTATAACCAGCACTTTCAATAGCATAGGCAGGGTACCTATGGCCCTCAGAATACTGCTAGACTCCCTTAGGCTAAACCATTATGGCCAATGGCCAGTGATGATGGGACTTGTAGTCCAACAGCATCTCGAGCAACCTTCCCTAACTGGATGCCCTTCAAGATTTTGGAGCTCTGCTTCCATCTGCCCTAGCCAGCACAGCCAATGGTCAGGAATGACAGGGATCATAGCATGAAACATCTGGTGGGCAACTGGTTGTAGAATGTTGCTCTAGCAAGATACAGGTTTTCAACTCTCTCCTTTAGGTACCAATGATGCCTGAAGACAAACCCTGCTAACAGGGCATTTTATAATTCTCTACTCAAAGTAAGTTTCATTATGATAAGCAGGCCCTGCATCTGAGAAGTGCATGGGACTGCAACCTTAATTGCTTATTCCAAGCTGAACTTTTACAGGAATACGAGAAATATGTCCATATATGAGAAACAAAGAACCAAAACAAGGTTTTTGGAAGAAATATGGGGTAAGACTACATTTCCCTTCAGTTATGAACTAAATAGTCATAAAACTTCTACTTGGTTTTTAGATCTATATCCATATTCAGTCATGAAGTTTTAGGATATCTGGAATTCTGAGCTTTAGGTAAGACAAAGAAACCCCAGGTCTCATTATCTGGACATTTTCTTATCCTATGAGCTAAGTTCCAAGTCAGCACTGGAAGAAGGGGGTAGAGTGGCAATAAAGATAGAATCAAAGTGGGATAAAGACAGAATCAAAGAAAACTACCATATTGGCCTCTTTCTCCAGCAACAAACCTCTTCTGGATCCTAGTTCCCTCCAAACATAGAAGGAACCTATTTTTTGGAGGCAAGGGGGATCTATCCCAATATTTTCCACATCAATTTCACTGAGGCCATTAACCATTTGGCATCCACTGGCAAATTCTCCATAGACTTGCTTTAGAAGAACACAGCATTATTCATTAAAACATTAAGCAACTTTTTGTAACCAGGCTGTAGCACAGGCAGAATTTTAAATTTTACTGACATGAATTGACAGCCACAGCTAATCATACAGAACAGGTGTAAGGGGCCTTTTACAGGAAATGCCAGTTAATAAGCAGGCAGATCCATTTTGCACCAGATGCAATTTTCAAATGTCAAACTACTCTGAAGTGTAACCTCATCTAATAGTAATGCAGCTGCTAAACAGATAGGTATGGTCAAGCCTAGAACTAAAAGGAAAGATTCCATTCCACTTTGGGGAAAATACAATTTATGAAATGGAACACATATGCAAGATTCCAATAAACTACCTTCCCATTACTATCTAGAGAGATGCAAAGATATTTCAAAAACCTGGGCACCAATTGAAATCCCACCCACTTTGACATGCAATTTACCAGCAACCAGTTAACTGCAGTTCAGCTGGAACTCCAAACAACCCCAGAAAACCTGAATTCTAAATGCAACATGAACGCGAGGAAGGGGCAAGAAGGTTGCTGTAGGCAGAAGGGAGCACTCATTTTTTATGGTGACCACAGAAATGTTTTCTTTTCCAAGGTCATTCTCTCCAGTCCTTTTTCCAAAAGTATGGTGAAAATGTGCAACAAATGGGGGAGAACAAACAGGAGCATTTGCAGAGGAAAGGATCCCAGTAAGATTAAGTGAAATCCACCTATCTGTCCAAATCACCAACTCTATGTGCTAGCAATAAAAGGCAACAAAATGCCTGATAATCTCTAACTTCATCCTAAAACAACTTAGAGCAACAACCCAAACTCACAACATTCTGCACTTTCTCCCAAACCTTTCCCAACTTAGTGAATCAGGCAACTGATGAAACTTAAGCCTGTTTCATTGAAGTGCGGGGGGGGGGGGGGACTCTTTACAGATGCATTATATTTACTCAGGTAGGTATTTAGCATTTAACTTTGAAGGGCAGATTCTTCAGGGGCAATCAAATTTACTTATTATAGAAGGATGCAGCTCATTCACTAAAAAGGTGAAGCAGTTTCTTGTGGGCAGGCAGCAGCCAAGTCTTCAATATTAGTCAGCTACCATCTTAGGCAGGAAGATTCAACATAACAAATGTGCTGCTCAAACAAAAATTACTGGTTGTCCACCTTTGACAGGGATAGTGACACTTAGGCAATTTGTTGGTAGAACCTATTAGGTTTGTAACATGTATACATTATCAAGCCTGGATTGCTGTCTAACAAACTTTCACATTTCCTTCAGAAAGTAAAGAGTTTAACCAACCAAAATCAGGATGTATCCAGAAAAGGCAGAATGCAGGTGTTTTAGTCATGCAGGTGCAGAATGTGGCTATCAACCTTGAATCAGCCTCTGCAGAACCAGTATGCTAATGTACCATTTGCAATGCTCTTCAAATAATGCCACTTTAACACCTTACCATGCCTAATCTAGTCACTGGAATGACACAGCACAGGCTGTTGACTGTGCTTAGGAAGCTGCTCTGGCTCCAGCATAATGCAGCCATCTTGTACAACACCAGCAATAACCTATAAGGGTGCAATCCTGAACAACCTACTATGAAAGTGAATCCATTAAACTCTGTGATGCTTACTTCTGAGTAATAATACATAGTATCTGACTGCATGGTTTCTGGATCTCCCCTGACAAACAACAGCATGCCTAGAGCTATAGCATTAAATTTCAGTAACACTGCACTGCAATTACAAAGCTAGATTTACATGTTCAAAGGGCCATATGAAAGCTTTGAGATCCAGTCTACAGAAATGCCATTGCTTCTAAAGATAAGTACAATATCACATTACAGTAATGAAAACAGGAAAAAAACATACCTAAATAATCCAAAGAGAAATGTACAGGACTCAACTAATGCAATTTCAGTAACCCACTGAAAACCAAATAATTCCACAGTGTCCTCTTCATAGTCAGTTGGAAAGGGATCTAACCCCAGCAAAATCCTGCAAAACAAACCCAATATTAGTTTCAATAATCATGAAAAGATACCATACATAACTGTGTTATTTATTTCATCCTGCCTCTTCCTCCATGGTGGGGGAGGGGGTGTACATGATCCTCTCCATTTTATCTGCAGAACAATCCTGTGAGATAGGTAAGGCTTGGAGACAATGACAGGCCTAAATTACCTAGAGAACTTCATGGCCAAGTGGGGACCTGTACCCACGACATCCCAGTCAAACGCTAACCATTCCACTATACCAAAATGTATGAATTGGTACTAATTTTGCACTTTGTTTTCTACACTGACCATCCAGCAGTGTTGTTTGATCTGCAGGCATCATACAATGCTGCCTTTAATGGCATCAATTAATCCAACAAAGCAGCATTAGCTTTGAATAAAACTTCAGATCCTGGTCCACAAAGAAGTGTAGTTCTACAGCTAGTACTGTATTTCCACTGGACTGCTGGTACTGTCCAGAGGATCACTGACCAACTATGTTACCACAGTACCACATAGCCAAATGGAGGGTAAGGTTTTTTCAGCAACAGCAATGCCACATCAGTAATGTATGAAGTGGCCCCAGAAACCCTCTATTCAAACAAAAGCTGAAGACACTAATGGGATCACTGTGGCACACAGCAGCTGTTAGAAGAAACTAATTAAACATTCCAAACTCTCAGACCTGAACACACTCACACACAGGGGATTTTAATACTATTCAAAGTAATTATGCCACTGAAACATTCTGAACAAAAAATCAAGCCTGCCCAATAGCATTTTCAAGATAAAAGTCCCAAGAGTGACATTTTAAGTTTTACATACCTCTTAAGAGATCCACTTGCTAAATAAGAATCAGCAGAAATGCTTTTCCCTCCATTTCTAAGGTCGGATGCACAGGAAAAACTGAGATGTCTGAAGCACTGCCTCTCCACTTCCATAGCCATCTCTAAGCTCTCTGTGAGTGATGAAGGCACTGAGGGAGCACTGAAATCATCATCCATGGTTCACGCTTCTCTCTGAAATAATACTGTATTTTTTAAGTGCTGAGTTTTCTGTATGTGAAATTATTAGTACTGAAAAAAAACAGAAAATGGAGCCAACATACCCCCTGAAAAATCCCACTGATATGTCAAATAGCAGCAGGTTTTCAAAACAGCTTCAAGTCTCCTAGGGAGCTCAAGACCTAACTTCCATTTTGGAGAAGTTCTTGCAGACCATGTTCCAGTGATAGGTAGGACCAAAGACAAAAGGTACAGCTTTCAAAATGCTAACATGGTTTAGCGTAAAGTGCTTATTTCCAGTTGATGAGATATATTGTAATTATTTCAACTTGTTATAATGGGGAAGAGTAAGTCAGATCTTCGGCCTATTCAGGTCAGTATGGACTGATGGGCAACTGCTCTCCAGAGTTTCAGGCAGGTGATCTCCACCCTACCAGAAGATGCCCGCATTTGAACCTAGGATTTTCTACAAGCAATGTTGCGTTTTATTATTGAGTTATAACTCATGTCCTACGGTTCAGAGAGTGACTGGGGTTGCACTCCACTCCACCCACACTGCTGGCATTCTACCTTTTTTCCATGATTACCCTTACTAAGCACATTCTGCCAAGTCCTCTGACACATGGTTGGCTTCCAAACCACCACAAAATTCTAGAACAAGCCATGGGTTGTCAGGTAGCTTGGAAGCCTTCCATGCCACCCAAGCCCCTGGGTTCAGACAGCACAGCGACCAGTGCCTATCAAGAGTAATTACGGAAATGAGGTGGTACACAATTGGAACAGGCAAAGGAAAAAAGCCCTTTGTGGATTCTTTTCCTTTTCTAATTATACAAACCCTACCATTCTGAATGACAGTTCAAACCTAATGGTAATGTGCCAATAGTTCAGTGTTACAAGAACAACATGCTAGGTTCATGTAATAACATTGGCAAGGATCGCATATGCGCAATGTTGGAGAAATGAAAAGCAACTGGCTGAAGATTTGATCTTGAACAAGATATTGGACTCTGCAGAAATGGATAGATTGACTTCATCTCTTAAGAAAAAAGAAGATACAGTTTACTACCAAACATGGGGCTTTTTTATCAATGGTTGCAGAATTGGAACTCTAATATGAGCTAAACTACATAGCATTTGTAGAGAGAAATAAGACTTTGTACACAGTATGTCTATAGTCTTTAGATTAATTATTTGTTTAGTGAGTAGAAAACAATAAAACTTTTGAATTTAAAAAAGAATAGCATGCTAGGTTCATGTATCTCCTGGCCTCTCTTGAGTATGGTTTCAAGTGTCTGGAAATGTGCATACACACTTTTGATTAACTACTACCTAACCCTGTTTTTTTGAACAAACATAAACTGTGGCTAGTCTGAACTATAGGTAGTGGAAATGGAATTTAAACTATGGTTTATAAATATAAAATAACTGTTGTTAAGCCACTGTTGTTAAGATAAGCAACAATGGTTGAACAATGCATTTTAGAAAGAAATTCAAGCTTGCTGGCATGCTTTCTGGTGCCTTTTAAGTTTGCTATGAGGTTTTATGTTTACTTTTTAATTCTTTATTACTAACCACCCTGGGATAATGGAAGGACAAATTCATTTACTTATAATGAAGAAATAAATAACACTATTATGTTTAATAGTGCTGTTATATTTTGCTTGTTGTGTAAAGACACCCACATTAAGGGTCTTAGAAAAGTATTTTCAACCAATCAAGAAAATGGAAGAAAGTGAACCTTGCACACCTATAGGGAACACCTATGAAAACTTTATAACTTAGTTTTGGAGAATCAGAAAGCAATCCTTCATGGAGCAGGAGTAAACCAGCAGATTCAGTTCCACTTCCAAAGCCCTGTGGTGAAGCCTTATGTTTTATTCTCCAGAAGTTACATTTTTCTGTTTTCCCTATTGCTTTAGGACCTACTGCCAGTGGAAGTACTGTTACAGGTAGATTTATGTCTGTAGAGCTTCAATTTAGGACTGGAAGAAAGGAGAATTCCTTCATAATTCAATATTACAAACAATGAATAGTAGTAGGCCTGCTGCATAATACATATATTAAAAGGGGTTGTTAGCTAAATAACATTAAGGGCATTTAGAAAACTTTAAATACTATTTAAAGTGGAAAGCCAAGCTATAAATGGAATTATTTTTAATGCCACACTGACTGGCATTACCATCCAGTCTGCATGTCAGTTACAAGGCAATGATCATAAATATACCATCTGTTTATCATTTATTTTATATTTTTATTTTCTGGAAACTTAATGAATGTAAAATAAAAGAGTAGGAAACTGAATGTTATGTACCATCATGCTCCCAACAAACAAGCAGATGTCAAACAAACTTATAATTTCTTTAGGACTGGTGCTATAACAAATTATTATATTAGAAGAGTATGGGTAATTCAAGTAATTATTTCAGATGACAGAATATCTAATGTCATCTACCCAGGTTCATACTATTGCAGGAGGTGTCAAACCAGAACAATCAGCCCTTGTGGTTTTGTATTGACACCATTCAGAGATTTTAATTTTCCAGTTTGCTCAGCCATGGAGCCAACTGGGTGACTTTGGGCCAGTCACAGACTCTCAGCCCAGCCTATCTCACAGGGTGATTGTTGTCGGGATAAGATGGAGGAGGAGAATAATGTAAGCTGCCTTGAGCCCTTTGTAGGAAAAAGGCAAGATATAAATCGAATAAATAAATAAATAAATAAATAAATGTATTCAGTAGTGAGACCCTTGCTTTTCTCTCATCCTGAACTGAGCATTGGAGAATCACAACAGAAAGGGAAAAGGTCATTGGTGCTACATTTCTATACTCATTACCAGGCTCTCTGAATTCAGAGGTGAAGAAGCTCAAACAGGACAACACTCTATTTAACACTACAAGCCTGTAGTGACATGGTACACAAGGAAACAGTGTACACTGCATTAGTGGTGGTTAGAGATGAATTAAGTGGGCGTTGAACATTTCAAGAGCACAATCAGGAAAAACACGTTTCCAACTATGGACAGTCTGCATTTTCCCTGCGAATAAATTAATATATGCACTACCAGTGTCTACCGAGAAATAGTCATCATTGTTTCAATGACATTCATTCTCAAGGAGGTAAGTAAACATAGTATTGCAGCCTGGTAGTAGTGTAACCTTTCTGGTTTGAATGAGGCTTACTTCCAGGGAAATAGCCATGCCTTAGCTTTGAGGGAAGACAATCAATACAGAGACCAAACTGAGCGCTGCGGTCTTGCCAGAGGTATATTAATTCGGGAATGTGCCCCACTGAATGCAGCAAAGACTGACCTTCCAGTGAATGTGCCCCGATATAAGCCAGCTACATCCAGAGACCCGCCATTTCCTCTAAATAAAGCGAAGGAGATTCCCTCTTGAGAACCAGAGGGGCAAACTTTCAAAAAGGAGATCACTTCCCACCCTATTCATACGGGGCATCCATCAGCATATCAGAACCCCACACATTGTGACTATAAGGCAGGAACGTGAAGAATCAGGGCTACGACGCCCACCTCACATCTAGAGGGAAAAAACTCCAAAACCGTGACACGAAAGGTTTAAAAGGGAGCGTAGACGGGTAGACACCCTGCAGTCCTTCTCGCCCGCAGGCAAGGACACGCTCTCATCCACAACCGCCCCTTCACACGACTACGGTCCTACCACAGAACTTCAACAGCAAACCTTCCGCCGCTCCTCCGTAACTCCCGCGCGCACAGAGCGCTGCGCTATTGCGCGTGCTCCGATGATGACGGCCTCTGACGTCACGCGCTCCCATTGGACGGCGCTGAATATTCCATCGAAGTACCACCCCCTTAAGGGTGGCCGTGAAGGGGGCGGTTTCCGCCTGGTGCGGACGTCCCTTGAGAGCTTCGAGAAGAAGCGGGAGGGGTTGCGCTTTTTGCTCTACCTCACACGTCTTCGTTACTCCGGGATAAACCCCTCTCCGGGGGTCTAGAATTACACGAGCTTCCTGGAAAGTTGCGCGACTTTCACCCATGTTATTTAGAGCAGACGTAGTTCCCCAGTTGGTCTCGCCTTCGGCTATCCAAAACGTCTTTACAAGCACGTTCTCCCAAGAGTGAAATCACAATTTCCGTGATTTCAGTTTGGTTTACTCTCAGTTCTGCAAACATAAGGTTGGAGCTTTCCAGGCCTATTATATCCACGTTTCTTAGAACTACTGCAGTGTTGTATTAAATAGGAATTATATGGTCGCCTGTCACTGCACTCTTGCATAATGTAAGCCTATTAAATTCCGACCAGATCTGGAGAGATTTGCACGATTAGTCCACGGAATGTGGACTTGGGCCCAGTTGAATCCATTCTGACACCCTGCACTTATCAGCACAGCACAACATGCTAGCTAAATGTATAGGTACAAGAGTGTTGGGATGTGTGGTTTGGAAAAAGGAGTGAAGGATAATAAATGATGAAATACCTGCACTCAGAGAATCTCCATTGGCTGTTTTTTTATTATTATTTTCCATTACCTTTTCAAGGTAATAGGTATTGAAGTAGGAGGGTGTTTCCTTTGAAACCTGTGCTGTGTAGTAGTTGGAAATTTGACAGCTGAAGCTTTTCCTAGCATGCAGACCACAATACTGAGCACTCTTAGAAGGCTCAAAGAAAAAGTAGAACCGATTTCTGAGGGCGGCTTCCATATACATACTGCCTGAAATCAAGCCCTATTAGACCAAGTAGGATTTACTTTCCAGTAAAAAGTGAGGGTTCAACTCTTTAAATGAAACATTCTGATAGAGTTTCAGGCCTGCCACATGCACAGAAACTAAGGAATGGCCAACAGGTATACAGTACATGCTGAGTGAATGTATAAACGGAAGCATTAAAAAAAGGTTTGCAACATAAGCGCAAAACAAGAACTCAGAGTTCACATGCACCAGATGTCTCAGTGACAGTCTACATGTCAAGACACATGTAACATAGAGACTATGATTAAAAAATCAAATAGAAGGCATTCTAGAAAAC